TGGAAAGAGAATGAAAATCTTCTCACTGTGCTAAATGTGGCAAAAAGTCAACTGTTTACCACTACATTTATGATAAATACACCAAGGAACTAGAGTGAAGCCTTGATAATGCTAGCAATCCTGATCAGCAATGAATTTTTTGCACTAAAGAACATTTTAATGAATGAAAAAAAGTTGATTGCTACAATTGCTCTGAATGCAGTCAAGAAAAATTAGGAGGAACTTACTGATACAGAGAAAAAAAGAATGACAACAAAAAATTTTGTTCAGAAAAGTGCACTGATATTTATTATGCTCCTATATGCGACAAGTGTTCGCAAAAGTGTTTAGGTAGAAAAAACAAAGTTGTTTCTTGATATAACGATATAGAAAACAAAACTGGTAATTTATGCTTTAAATGTAATGATGATAGAAACAAAAAAGAGGAACAATTAAGGAAAGAATGAGATAAAATGTGGGATGATTTAGGAAAGGAAATGCAAAAAGAGGAGCCTTATGTTAGTTGAGAGGAAGTCATTACTCCTTGCTCTTTGAAAGAATTCAAAAAAAAGAAAAACAATGGACAACTTACTAATTATCTTCAAGAAAAGTTACTAGAAATCCAAGAAATAAGAGAAGATAAAAAAGATATTCCTCTTCCTGAATTACCAAACGACTTTCCTAATCCTTCCGATGAAAATAATGACATCCCAGTACCTAGAGAGAGAGAGAGAGAGCAAATTAGCAAGAAAATAAAGAGATTAGAGCAGAAACCTAATCGCACTCCCCAAGAAGAAGCAGAATTAGCGAATTTAAGAACCAGATTAAGAGAATTAAAAAATAATCACGAAGAAAAACCTTTTAATTATCTGCCATGAATAATAGGAGGAAGTGTTTTAGTAGCGGGAATAATTGTTGTGGTTTTAATTTTTAGCAGAAACAAGAAAAAGAATTATTATTAATTGTTTAGACTAAAACTTTATCTATAGAGTGAATTTACTATATAAAGTAATAAGCATCTATATACTTAATTGCCTATGGAGAAACTGAGAAATATCTAAGAAAAATAATACTAAAAATCAATCACTATTCTTTAGATATAAATGGCTTAACTGTTAGTAGTGATTACAAATCATGTTATTAAAAAATCATAACAAAAAATAAATAAATATTATGGAAAAAATTTGAGAAGAAACGAAAGAAATTTGAGAAGAAGAGAAAGAAAAATTTACTCCCATTGGTAAAGATTTAGAATCCATTAGTAGAAGTTCGTTAGATATAATACTAAGAATAGGCAGTAAAATTAGGCAAAATAACACTAATAAGGAAATATATGAAAAAGAAAGTCTAGATGCCCAAAAGTGATTAAATGAGTTAAATAATAAATATCCTAAAGATCAAAGAGGGAAAATAGTTTTTCCTGATAATACTCTAGACATCGGTGAAGAAATAGAGAATACACAAACTAAAGAGAGGAAGAGCGATAAATATATTAAGGTAACGCTAACTGGTTCTTTAAATCTAAATGATTTTGCTAATTTAGAAGGATTAGTTTTTTCTCCTATTGGCTACCCTTTGTCTGACAATAGAATTGATAATTTAATAACCGATGATTGTAAAAATTTAAAAAATGTAGAATTTTATTCTAGTAATTTAGTTCACTTAGAAATTGATAATTATCAACACTTGCAATATGTCAGTCTTTGAGATTCTAAAAAGTTAGAAGCACTAACATTAACTAATAATCCTCGTTTGGAAGAAGTCGATTGCAGTGAATGTGAATCAGCTTATCATTTGATTTTGGTTAATAATCCTAAATTAAAATCACTAAGGATTGATAATAGTAAAAAAGTCACTATCGATTTATTAAATTTGCCTGAAAATTTAGAAAGAGTTTACTGTGAGGGAACAAACTTAACTGAAAAGTTAAAGGGTTATGATAAACAAGAAAAAATTAAAGCAAGGGATAAAGATAATAATGTTAAGGATATTACGTTTACTTATTACGACTACCGATCTTGAAGAAAAGATCATCAAGATTTAATTAGCAAAGTTGAAAATTCACAAGTGCAAACTCATATTGAAATTCCTCCTAAACAATAATGATGATATTTAGTTAGGTAGATTATTTACTAAACTTAGCCAATCAGTATTTTTTTATTAAAACTGATTGGTTATATTGAGTATTTATTCACTAATTAAAACTAACTGAATATTTATTAGATATTCTTAAACTACTAGTAAAAACCAAACTCTTTAAAAACCTGCTAAAAATCAAGCACTTTTAACTAATTACTGAATACTTTGCAAAAATAATAATATAATAAACTAACTGAAAATATACTCTTACTAATATTCTCTAACTCTTATGAATAGCTCTAATATCTTGTTAAATTCTTCTTAGAATATAATAAGTAAAATTAGTCAATATGGAAGAAATATACATGAAAGTCGAAATACCCAAAGGTAGTTCTAATAAAATCGAATATAATAAAACTAAAAAAAGGTTTGAATTGGATAGGGTTTTGTCCGCGGCCATGTCTTATCCAGGAGAATATGGTGTTATTGAAGAAACATTGGCACTAGACGGAGATGAATTAGATGTTATTTGTTTAACCATTCAACCTACTTTTTGCGGGCTTTATGTTCCGATACGAATTATTGGAGTTCTAAAAATGGTTGATAAAGGTGAACAGGACGACAAACTATTAGCGGTAAATGCTGGTGAATCCGAATTAAGCCATATTCAAAAATTAGCGGATGTTCCTCTCCCGACGAAAGAGAAAATTAAACATTTTTTTGCTCGCTATAAAGATTTAGAAGGTAAAAAAGTAGAAATAGGAGAATTTGAAAGCAAAGAACAAGCCGAAAAGTTATTAAAAGAGTGTCAAAAAGCCTACCAAAAAGAAATGAAAAAGAGTTAGAAAAAATAAAAAAAATATCTTAAAAGCTTATGAAGATTCACATAATCCAAATCTAAAATTAATTTTGTGATTCTTTTATATTTTCTCCCACTAAACTCCCATTTTAGCTTTTATTATTCGGGGGATAATACTTGTTAATAAATCAGCAAAATTATATTCTTAGTTGGGATTTTTAGGGAGAACACAAAACTTACAAACTAAAAACTATATTAATTAAAACTTAATGCCGGAAAAAATTAATTTTCAAACCTTACATAGGAAGTTCAAATTCAAAGTAATTAAACATTTTTTTTTATCAATAATTCACGTAATAATCGGAGCTGTATTAGTAACAATTTTCTCTAACCTTTTCAATCAAGAGGGAAAAATAACTGATTTTAACAAGATGTTGCCTGAACAATTGCAAGGATTTTTTGGCAATTTAAGTCGCGAAAAATTCATTATCGGTGGCATAACTTTAGTATTAATTTACGCTTTGGTTGTTTATTTTGATAGTCTCTGAGAAGAAGAATTGAAAGTAAAAGGCGGGCATTACGCTAAAAATCTCCTTTTGAATAAATTTCGTCG